GCGCAAGTAGCGCTATGCCTCCTGAATGGTCCTGTAGTCTTCTGGGACCTGTCACGTGTCCCAAAAGACTATGGGGAGGAAGGAAGGGAGGACACCTAGGCGATCGGAGCAGAAGTGGGAGCGGGTACCTGTCAGGTTCGGGTACCAGCTCCCCCCCCCCCCCCCCAAAGGTGCCAATCCTTAATGGGGAATGGAGGACCAGTCTTTAAAGCGGAACTTCCCCTTTTGTGTGCAGCTCCACTTTAAATATATCTGCCTTTTTTTCTTCTTTTCATCCTCTCTTTCTGGTTCTTAGTATTTACATCATACAACCTGCTGTAATATTTTTGAAACGTGTTAGCGATATCAGTGGTGGAATGCACAATTTCTCTTGTTTCATCTTTAATTTTTTCTATAAAATTCTTCGATTTCTTTTCCCTTAATTTTTTCTATAATTATTTTCCTGGTCTATTCCCCCACTGATATCTTTCTTTTGAAACCTTATTAAAAATCCTCCTCATTTCCTGTTCCATAAGATCTTTTAGCTCTTCTCTTTTGAGATTATTTTTTTTCTCCCGGTCATTCTTTTTTTCCAACCCTATCGAGATAAGGATTCCACTGATATATGCCTTATGTGCCTCCCAGATTGTAGCAACTGATACCTCCAAAGTCTCGTTAGATACAAAATATTGCTTTCATTTCTTCTTGAATCTTTTCATTATTTCAGGATCTTTTATAAGCATCTCATTTAATCTCCACATAGTTATTTTATTCCACTCCCCTCCTACCCGCAGTCTCATTGTGACAATTGCATGATCAGATATAGACATTACTTCTATGTTAGATTTAACCATCTATTCCAATTGTCTATGCTCAATAAATATATAATCCAGTTGCGAATACGATCCATGCACTGGAGAAAAGAAGGTATAATCTCTTTCTCTTGGGTGTTTCACTCTCCAAGTGTCAATCAGTTGGCACTGATATAACATCTTTTTCACTGATTTAAATTTTTTACCACCTTCTCTCTGTGCACGTGATGACATATCCATCCATGGATTCATACAGAAATTAAAATCTCCTGCCACAATTAGACTACCCCTTTTAAAATCTATACTTTTTTTTTAACATACACTCAAGGAATACTACTGGATTTTTATTCGGACAGTAAATGTTAACTAATATACATTCTAGTCCTTGGAGGTTTCCTCTCAGAAATAGAAACCGACCTTCTGGATCAACCAGTCTTTTTTCCAAAGTGAATCTTACATTTTTTGAAAACCCAATTGCTACTCCTTTGGCCCTTTTTATTGGTGAGTCAGCATAATACCAGGTTGGATAATACCTCGAGTATAACTTGACATTTGTATCATGAGATATCTGTGTGTCTTGTAGAAACACTACATCTATAGAGTATTGGTGTAGTTCCCTAAGTATCTTATGTATTTTGGTCAGAGTGTTTAATCCTTTCACATTATAAGTTATAAAATTGATCAAACTCATTTCTAATACTATTTCTCTTCTCCTCTAAATTTCCATTTAGAGGGATAGAAATATAGACAATTTGGAACATGGACATTTTCCCCACCCCATCTAGCCCTCCCCCCCCTTCTTTCCACCGTCCAACCTCCCGCCTTCCCCCACTCTTCCCGCCCTCCCTTCCTCTTTCCCATATTACTCTTAAAAAACCCATGCCCTGGAATCTGTTGTGGTTTATTCCCACTAACGATTCCTATTTTAAGGTGAGGCTCAAAACACGCATGCCTGCTCTGACCCTAGCTTACAACATTGGGGGTCTAGAATTTGGTAGCATTTTTGGCCTCTTGCCATCCCGCCATTTCCTACTAATCTTCCTCAGGGTTCCCTCCTACCTACCTAATCCTCCTACTTTATCAATCAATATGCCTGTCCAAGGTCCTCCATTTCTTTACCCCACTTCCAGGAACAGAGGACAGCTTATTGTATAAACTCTTAGCATAAAGGGAGGAAAAAGGGGCGAGGGAGTCGTGGATACAGGAGGGGAAGAAAAAAAAAAAACTCAAGGCAAAGGAGAGGTTAGGGTTTCCCCTCCCTCTCCTTTCCACCTCCTCTCTCTCTCCCCGACCCTCTTCCCCTCTCTCACTCCCCCCCAACTCATTTCAATTTACATTCTCTTTTAGACACCAACTGCCACTTTTCTTTTCCCAACACTGCACTTTCTTTAGGCCCCTCTGACCACCCAACAATGTCCACGTTCTGTAAATCTAGTTTTTCACAAAAGTCACTTAATTCTTCTGGGAATCTCAGCCTTGCCGATTTCCCATCTTTCCACCCAATCAAACACACAGAAAAGCCCCAGTTTTATCGAACAGTTTTATCCGTCATCTGTTCCAACATCGGCTTCAAGGATCTTCTTCTGGCTAATGTCTCAGATGCAATGTCAGTGGAAATTTGCAGCTTTATTTCTCCATATTTTATTTCAGGGATCCCGCACAATTTTTTCCATATTCTTTCTTTATCCTCATAATGGTGGAATCAGACTTCACAATTCTGAGGGTTTCTGATGTTACTCCTTGCGGATACCTGGACCTTTGTACTCTATCAATTTTTAAGTGTTCTGTTGCTGGTCTGCCTATCATTGGATTGAACACTCTCTTTATTTTATCCCGTAAGTCATCTCCTTGAGATTCTTTTGGTAGGTCTCGAATCCTTAGATTATTTCTTCTATCTTTGTTCTCTTGATCTTCCAATTTATATGAGAGCTTTCTCTGTTCTCTTCGCATCTCTTCCACCTGTGTTTCTAATTTAATAAGCAATTGGGCATGTGTCTCCATTTTCCCCTCTACCTCTTCAACTTGTGTTAACATTCGTCCCAGATCACTGTATAGTACCATTTAATTTTTCATAGAATGCTCCAATTTCGCAAACATTTCCGCCATCTCTATTTTATGGGTATTTGTGACATGGCTCCCTGTTGTTTTGTGATTTTTTGTTGTAGTGCATTATCCAAATTTATAAATTCATTAATCTGGTTCTCTTCTATTTTCTTTTTTTGCTTGTGTTTGCACTTGATTGGGGTTTTTTTGAACCTCCACTTTGACAGATCGGCTCTTCATACCGTTTTAGGCTTTGCTGCTGGTTTTCTAATGCACTAATGCAATGTTATCGTCCCCGAGAAAGCCCTCTTTCCTTTTCTTCTACTGTCCTTTATGACCCCTCTTGTCTTAGTTTGGGAGCAAGAGCGTTTTAACAGTTCCACCAACCTTTCTGATCACCCAACAATGTTCTCTTCCGACCACAGCATTGCTCAAATAAACAGTTAATTGCATCAAATACAGCTTAAGTGAAACTTAAGTGTTTTGCTGCTACCCACGGCAACTCACCATTGCCTTCCATGCCAGAAGTAGATGACCACTGAGTCCCTGTTCACTCTTCCATCCCAGCCAGGGCCTCAGATCAAGGTTTCCAGATATAACTATGGAGGGTCTCTAGATGTCGATGCTCTTGGGGGGGTTCAGGGTATCTCAAAGGTGGTGCATCAGCAAGGGGGGGTTCTCCTCAGAATCCACTGCCTCCTCCTCATCTGCAAAGGCTCTCCGCTCTCTCAAGCCTCTTGGGGTTCCGACCATTGCCACGTGGACAATTACATGGGCGCTTCCAGCATCCCTCTCTCCTCAGAAGCTGCCACCTCCCACTCCTGGTCCACCAGGGCCACAAGACTCCTCCGACGTTCTGCCAACCACCGGCCATCGGGCTCTGCTGAGGGCTGCACACCAGCACACAGCAACACACCCCACCACCAAACGGGACCTCCCGCCACAACCAGCCACCATGAGGGCCCTCAGTCCACAGGGACACAACAGGGATACACCACCACCCAGACCGGACCTGGATCTGGACCTAATGGTGGGCGTCTGGAGCTCTTGCAACATGCAGCCTCACAGCGCCATGTTCAGTCCCCTCCCCCTACTTCCTCAAATCCTATAGACACACTTCGAAACCTTGTGGACGGTACTTGGTTTTTGACAGGTACCCGCCCCCACTTCTGCTCGGATCACCTAGGTGATCTGAGTAGAAGTTTGCCCCCCTCTCTCCCTGCCCACAGCCTTTTGGGACATGTCACAGGTCCCAGAAAGCTGCAGGGCCATTCAAGTGCAGAGATGAAGCCGCAACGATTCACAATCGGCTTCACTCAATAAAGATTTCAGCGCCAGGGACTCTAAGACCAGTGAAGAACTAGCCTGGGTGAGGACGATGCTGGACAAAAGTCTGAAGCTACAGTATTTGTAGCTACTTACAATTTTCTTCACGTTAAGTGCTGCTGTTGCATTAAACCGATATTAAAGGCTTATATTTTTTTTTTTCGTTAAATAACATACGTCATACTAACCTGCTTTGTGCAAGGGTCTGCAAAGCACATCACATTTAGGACAAATGTAGTCTGAATTAATAATCTGAACTAAACACTTAGTGTTACTAAACCCAGGACCTTGCATTCACTATATCTGGTCTTCCACAGTACACAGAACTCTGAAATGCAATTATTTTAGTAAATATAAACTGCTAAATACCATTTCTCATCAGCAGTATATAGCAGTCTTGTGACTACTATAAGCGTCCAGCCGAGTACTGATTAACCACTTGCCCTCCTGAGGATTTACCCCCCTTTCCTGACCAGGCCATTTTTTGCTTTACGGCGCTGAGTTACTTTAACTGACAATTGCACAGTTATGCAACGCTACACCCAAATGAAATTTACATCCTTTTTTTCCCATGAATTGAGCTTTCTTTTGGTGGTAGTTTTTTTTTTTGCGCTATAAAAAAAATAGACCTACAGTTTTGAGAAAAAAAAAACAATATTTTTGACTTTTTGCTATTAAACATATCCAGTAAAAAAATTTAAAAAATCTAATTTCGTCATAAATTTAGGCAAAAATGTATTCTGCTACATGTCTGCTAAAAAAAAAAAAAATCCCAATACGTGTAAATTAATTGGTTTACGTGAAAGTTATAGTGGTTAGCGGTATATATACTGGGATTTTTTTTTTGTCACTAGTAACGGTGGCGATCAGCGACTTATAGCGGGACTGCGGTGGGCATTCTGACACTGGGGGGAACTGACTTGGTGTCACTGACATCCCCAGTGACACCAATACAGAGATCAGTGCTAAAAAAAAAAGCACCGACACTGGGCACGAAAGTGTTAACATGTGGGGCGATCAAAGGGTTAACTGCGTGCTGTGTGTGTTTACTAAGTGCTGTGTCTGTGTGCCTCACTGCAAGCACACTGCTTTGGATGGTTGTGCTGTGCTCAGCCATCCAAAGCAGTGTGCACGAGCTGACAGGAAGGAGAACTGTTTTGTGTACAAACATCAAGGGAGAATGTCACCAGCACACAGAGGATCACCAATAGGGGTCCACAAGTTTTAATGAACGATCACATAGTTACAGCAAGGCAACATTTCCTAAATGTTGCCTTGCTATAACTATGTGATTGTTCATTAAAACTTGTGGACCCCTATTGGTGATCCTCGGTGTGCTGGTGACATTCTCCCTTGCTGATTCTGTTCAGTTCCAGCCGACAGTCGCTGCAGCACCCACTTATACACACAGCCATTTTTAACGCAGGAATGTGTGCGTTTGGACTGTACACTTGTATTGTTTACAAACAGTTCTCCTCCCCGGAGATGCTTGGCAATCACCGGGCACTGGCGAATAATCACTGGCCAGAACCTGCCCCCTACCCGGAAATGCAAAATCACATATATATACATGTGATTTTGCGCACCGTGCCACCCTGTAGCAGTATTTCTGCTGAAGGGTGGTGGGAAGTGGTTTAATAACAAACGTCATACTTACCTGTTCTGTGGAAGGGTCTCCAAAGTACATCACATTTAAGACAAATGTAGTCTGAATTATTAATTTGAACCAAACACTTAAAGTGTTACTAAACCCTGGACGATGCATTCACTATATCTGATCTCCCACAGTACGCAGAACATGGAAATGCAATTATTTTAGTAAATATAAACTGTTAAATACCTATTCTCATCCGCAGTATATTGTCTTGTGACATCTATAAGTGTCCAGCTGAGCACTAGTTAAAGCAGTAGTAAACCGCAACAAAGAAAAAAAGAAAAGTCCCCTGCAAGGTAATGTCATAATTTGCAAGTATGCATCGCATGCTAGAAAATTATGTAAAACTTACCTTAAAACAAAGTCTTCCAGCCACGCACTGTCACCACTGCAGAGGCTTCCATCTACACCCGATCTCTCTTCTGAGTTCACGATCTCCGGCCGTCTGAGGCCAGGCCGCGATGACATCACTCCGGGAGTCCCAGGCCATGGTATACAGCTCTGAAGGAACAGCACTGGTATGCCGTTCCTTCAGAGTGGATGCACTGGCTTTAGGAAAGAGAGAATATCTCCTAAATGGTGCACGTTTAGGAGATATTCATTTTACCTACAGGTAAGCTTCATTAGAAACTTACATGTAGGTAAAATGAAAAAAAAATATTTTACTACCACTTTAAGCTCGTAGGAGGAGTTTTCATTCTCCTCTGGCTGTCCTATGAGACTGCATAACCTCTGACCCTGTCTGGACAGTGCTGATTGGTCCTGTTCTGATCACATTCACTCTCCCAAAGAAAAAAAAAAAAACCTCTCTAGCAATACACACCAGATTGAGCATGTGTAGAGTGACTCCTAGAGCACTGTACTATTAGCAGATGGATTGGGGACTGTAGAAGAAGCAGAGGATCAGAGAAAACAGAATCAAACAGACTTTTTACACAATGCGTAGGATTAACCCCTTAGGTTCCACAGTGAGTATAACAAGTATACTTTACTGCATATACAGACTGTTTTTGCTGTTGTGGGTTTAGTAACACTTTAACATTAAAGTGCATGTAAATCTAAAACTTCTCTTTTTAAATTTAAATATGGATTTTAACCCTCCCCTACTCTGTGAAGCAATTTGTTTTCCCTTACCTACCTAGGAACACCCACTCCTCCAGTTTGACACATGCGTTGATGTACACACACATTATGCTGCAGATTACCTTTTGTTGCTGGCAACTGCGTTTTTCATTCATTTTTAATATTGTGTGGCAGTGCGGTGTCCTGCCACGGCCAAAATCAAGCTGAAAACCCTGGATTCTCAACCAGGCAGGTTGAGGGGCTCCAGAGAGTTGATGGATTGCAGAGGAAACTGGCTTTTCAGTTTCCTCATTTATTAATTAAGTTTGTTTTGGGATCTGGAGCCTGGAGATTTCAAAGAGAGATCTGGGAGGGATGAGATCTCCAATCCGGGGTCCGTGTTTTGAGAACCCCCAGCACACTGAGTGCACAGGTGTGTGCCGGCCTTTTATAGAGGCCTAACCATAGTTCTGGGCTCCACCCCGGCAGATAGGAGTCAGGAGGGCTCCACCCTGGCAGGCAGGAGGTCTCTGCCTTGGGTCAGGTGGAAGCCAGACTAGCTGTGTGCTAGTGGCCATAATTTGGGAAGAGTCTGCAGGAGACAGACCGTGAACTGCGTACAAGCCAGGAGGCTGAATCTTTGTTGGTATTGCTTGATGGTGGATACCCCTGCGTGGGAAGCATTTTTGTTGAACTTTTTCTTTTAAATAAAAGTGGGCAAAAAAGCCCTTAAAGAAGCGAGTTGCTGTGTGCTTTAACAAGAAGAGCTCTACCATTTGAAGCGAGGTCCCACAATTGCTATTCACATTTTTTCATTTGTAGTGCGGTTTTCTTATTATATATCTTTGTTGTGTCAAGGCAGCCTAAGGCAAGCACAATTTTTGTAGCATGCTGCACCACACATCTGTCAACCAGATCCATTGGGGTGCTGTTTAGAATGAATGGAACCACAGCACAGTAGCGCATATTTTCACAAATTGTGATAAGGTGTATGCTAATGCACATGTTACCGCAGCACAACAGTGTGAACCTAGACTTTAATGTAAACAGCTAAATGTTTCTTCCATTTGTGAATGATTGCACTAACCGTTGTCACCTTCTCACCAAGCTGCTTGGCGATAATTTGGTAGCCCAGTCCAGCCTTGTGTAGGTCTACAATCTTGTCCCTGACATCCTGGGACAGCTCTTTGGTCTTTGCCATGGTGGAGGGTTTGGAATCTGATTGTTTGATTGCTCCTGTGGACAGGTGTCTTTTATACAGGTAACAACATGAGATTAGCAGCACTCCCTTTAAGAGACTGCTTCTAATCTCAGCTTGTTACCTGTATGAAAGACACCTGGTAGACACAAAACCCTGCTGAATGATAGGAGATCAAATACTTATTTTCCTCATGAACATGCAAATCAGTGCATAATTTGTTAGACATGCATTTCTTTTAAATTTTTTGTTGCTATTCTGTCTCTGTGTTATAATACACCTACCATTTGATTTTTAGACTGATTATTTCTTTGTGAGTGGGCAAACATTTAAAATCAGCAGTGGATCAAATACTTATTTCCTTCACTATATATGAAAAACATCTATGAGTGCTGTTTTCCTAACAAATGATTAGCATTTTAGTCCATTCAGTCCTGAGATTTACACAGCATTTCCATACATTGCCCATTTAGCAGGGGAGGGCACCTGATCTTCCCTGCTAGTTCAGTAACACTTACAGGTCCTGTCTTTCCCCCCAGCCTGTGACTGGACATTCAAAGGAGTAGCAGAAGACTGATTAGCTCATCACTCCATCTCCCTGCTCTCTTCTGCTATTATGCCTTTCCTATATTACCAAATGAGCACTACAGCACAAGTGATTGGCTTTGTATGCTAATTCTTCCTCTCCCAGTCTGAAATCTGCTGTAAAGGAGACTACAAGAGACTGATACCAAGTCAAATTCAGGTATTTACACTGCTTTTGAAAATGTGATTAATGATGTATTATTAATGAATACAGAGGCATTAAACTGTGCCTCAGTAGGAATCATTTAAATACAGTCTGGGTGCATCAAAACAGAAGGTGTTAATGCCATTTAGTTAATTTCCTTTCAAAAGCAGCCACAGCCTGAGTAGAAAAGCCTCTCTCCTGCCAGCATGTTGCAGAGTGGGTCCCTTGCTGTCTGTGGGGAAGCAGTGGTCTCACTACAGAGATCCAACTCATCCCCTACCGAGTCAGACCTATTGCTATGCAATCAGAAAAGCTTATGCTTCCCATTGCTTGGAGTACTTGGGATCTAACTCAGCAGGGAGCATGTCTACTACTATCACTACTAACCCACAGTGAGCAAGGGTCCCAATCTGCAGCATGCTAGCAGGGGGCAGGATGTTCTACTCAGGCTCTGGCTGATTTTTAAAGGGTAATTCCACTTTCGTGGGAAAAAAAATCAATTAAAAAAAAAAATAGTATAGCATATACAATTGCTATCGAGTCATATTGTAATTGAATGTTATTAAAATTTACCTTTTCTTTTCAATCTGCAGTGCTGTAATCTTCTGTAAAATGCAATGCAATATGGCTACCTGGAGGTGTTCTGTACACATAATGTGCACAGAACACCCCCCAGATATGTAATTTCCTGCTTGTGTGATTGGCTCACCGATTTTTCCCAGAAGTCTGCACTAAGATACAAGTCAAATTTTTGGTCTTGTTACAAAAATTTAATTTTTGGTGAGATACTCCCAATAGGAAATCACATATAAAGGGATGCAGTCCCTGCAATTTTCCTGATTAGATCCCTGCAGATGCTGATTGATCATTATGAAACCACTCCCATTAGATTTACTTTCCACATGGACACAGACTAACAACTCTTTCTTCAGAATAACAAAAGGTAGGAATCCGCAACAAAGTGTGTTAAAAATCCTTGAGCAGTACATAGATCACCCAGAGGGGAAGGTTTTTTCTCAACAAAAGTGGAGTTACTCTTTAACCACTTGCCGACAGCAGATAGCCAAATGATGCCTTCACTGCGGCCGGCCAGTTCTGGGAGGGCGTCATAAGACGTCCTCCCTGAACGCACTCTCCTGCGCGCCCCTGGGGGCATGGCGCCTGGCGACCTCCTTGATCGCTGTGTCCTATGGACACAGCTGATCACATGATATGGTAAAAGGCCAATCACAGCGGCCTTTTACCACGTGATCAGCCGTGTCCAATGACACACTGATCACCGGGAAATGCAATTGCTGCACTTTCCTCACGCTGTCACAGCATGCGGAAAGTACTACCGAGAACCAGCAGTTGTCAAAGGAGGGATCGGCACAGATCATCAGTGCCCTGATGATTGGTGCCCAGCAGTGCCACCCACCAGTGCTGCCCACAAGTGCCCAACAGTGACATCTACCAGTGCCCACCAGTGCCAACCATCAGTGCAGCCCAGCAGTGCCACCGAGCAGTGCCACCCAGCAGTACCACCAGTCAGTGCTATCAGTGCCCATCATCAGTGCCACCTATCAGTAGGGGTGTATTTACCACAAGGCAAACAAGGCATTTGCCTAGGATGGCATTTTTCAGGGAAAGCAGCACTGCCCCTCGGAAGAAGGGATGGAAGAAGGGACACACGTAGCATGGGGATTGGTGGGTTCCGAGAGACATTGCGGGTTTCATGACGGTGTATGCACAGCCCTACTCTTGTTCCTGAGGATGTCCAGAGCTGTGAAGGTGAGTGTCTCTCTCTCTCGCCATAGGGGATAGTGGCTGGTGTATGGGGGGTAGTGGTAGTGTAAG